GACTGTACAATGACTCCTCTATTGTTTCCCATGGTGCCCATCAGTGGACAGCTGGAAGCAGGAGTTGCACTGAGGTTTGAACCCAGGCACTCCAGTATGAGGTGTAGGTGTTCTATTGTGTCTACTGCCCAGCCCCTTGTCATTGTTTTCTAAACAAAACAAAACAAAATGCCCTTTTAACTATCTACAATCTTTCAAAAGAGGATGAATAAAGTGAGGGGGGAGAGAGTTTTTCTTGTGCTGTTCACTCCTGAAGCCAGGAGCCAGGACCTCCATTCAGGCCTCTCACACAGGTGGCTGCTGCCTAGGTACCAGAGCCCTCATCTGCCAGGGTATGCTTCAGCCTAACACTAGGCTGGAAGAAGAGGCAGGACTTGAACAATGGCACACTGTTATGAGATAAAGACGTCCTACGCTGTGGCTTAACTCACTGAGTCACAACACAAGGTCCCCCAAGCAACCTGTACACTTATGCAGGCTGCTGAAGAGTAGTAATAGCCAGATGAGGTTCACACAGAAGCCCCTTCCACAGGTGTTCATAAATGATTAGCATTTCTAAAAAGATATCCTGAGACCATGTCAACATTTGAGAAGGCAGGGTGATCATCTTTAATCGTGGACTCTTATCTAATATAAAAAGTGCGATCCTTGTTTTTTCTGATGTGGAGAGTACACTTGTTTATTCTGTGTGTTTATAAGTATGTATGCTTATATATGTGTACCTGTGTGCCAGTGTATATAGAAATCATTCATATTTTATTCCCGTTGTTCATTTTGGTCATCAGACTCAGATACAATTCACTTTCAAAAAATTAATGCATGCAAAGCCTTTATCCTGTTCAATCAAACTTTTTTTTCTTCTGTTCCTTTCAGAAGGAAGATTTAAGAATATGTGTTACACCCAACATACTGTTCATTCTCAATAGGTTCCTAAGAGGGAAATAGAATCCTAACAATTTCCTATGTCCTCCTTTTTTCTTTTTCAAAAAAAAATAAAGCCAATTAAATCTAACATTTTCTACCACTTTGCTGTCATTGGTACCATCTTACTTTGTGTCATTGCTATTACTTTGCTGTGGTCCTCACCGTATTCCTTGGGGGCTATAGTTCAAATCTCCCTGTTTTTCTGAAATGCATCACATGTATTCATCCTTTTTCTTGTGATACACATATCACTGTTTGTACAAGTGTATTTTATGAGATGTGCATTACTTTGAAGTGTTCACCAGTTTCTCAATATTAATATTTTGCTGCTATATTCTTTATTTATCCTTTTTAAATAATACCTAAAGCAGAGGTAGATTTCTTTGGAGGCATTTGGGAAAATTCTGAATCTCTCCCTACCCATGAGATCTTTCCCACCCATAGGTTTTGGCATCCGTCTGTGTTGTCCCGCATCCCTTTGAGTTGGCACAAAGCTAGCTGATCGGATCCGAAGACTGAGCTAAGTGAAACTGAGCTAGAGAGTTTTACTTTCAAAGGGATCAGAATCTCCAATTGAATATTTTACTTGAACTAATGGGATATTAATTGCTGAGCCAAGACTGCCTTGATGAGGTCACCCATTTGCACAGAAAAACAGAAAAGATCTGCCAAAAGTAGCAATTAAAGCTCATAGAAGCAGAGCCCCAGTGTGCCCCAGACAGAGAGGGAATAGTTCTCTTGGTTCCAAATGTCACCAAATGTTTAGTTCTACTCTCAGATACATTCTGGCCCCTGAGTTTTGCAAGATATCTCCGAACCCTTAAAATTAAATGCTACTTTCTGGATTCAATTAGCTCAAGAGGAACAGAGTTTTAACTAACATTCCAACTCATTTTCCAAGACGCAGCGTTCGGCTACTCTTCCCTAAATATGCATCAAACCGCCAAGCCACCATCTTCCTCTTCTCCTTTATACCCCCACCTACCTGCCACACTTCACTATTCTTACCTGGCTCCCATCCCCATAGCAACCTGTGGACATCTTAGGATCAGAGGAACTGACTTACGTGTGTTCACATTTCCCCACCGCGCAAGATCTCTAAATATTGAACACAGTGTTAGAGTTTGTGATTCGATAGCCTAAATATTGAAGTTAACCTGAAAAAAACAAAACAAAACAAAAACAAACAAAAACAACCTTTTGTTTGGCCCGTACAAAGAACTTTTTAAGAACATTTGCATGTGTGTAAAATCCGCTATTTTTTTTTTTATTAATTACGTTGCATTATGTGACACAGATTCATAGGCTCTGGGATTCCCCCATTGTCAGGAGCCCATTCCCTCCTGGTGCCCTCCCCCCTTGGTGGATTCCTCCACCTAGTTGCAGTATCACAGTTCAAATTAAGTCAAGATTCTTTCATTGCAAACATATACCAAGCATAGAGTCCAGCATCTTATTGTCCAGATAAATTCAACAGTTTCTTTGGGAGACCATCTCTGGTCTGAAGGTAGAGCTGGCAGAATATCATCCCAATCAGTCAGAAGAAAACCCACTAGTTCTTATTATTATTCTTTCACGATGCAGCTCCATAGGCTCTGGGATTTCCCGTCTTCCTCCCCAAGTCCCTTCTGCTCACAGTGATTTCCCCTCTACTATTACAATGAGTAGTCTTTCATGAACAGTCATAAGTCTATCATTCTGTTATTGAAGTAAAACCCACTATTTTCGTTGCCTTTTCTAAGGATAAAGATCTTCAGGATGTTCCTTAATATTATTGAGTATATAGATTTCCTCTCTACGTAATTGAAATGTCAGAGTTGACCACTCACTTGGCTGATGTCTTCATGAGTTTTATGAAGGAGCCAATTCAAACACTGATCAAAGCGTGGTAGGGACATTGGGAGAAAGAATTTTAAAGTGATATCTGTACCCGAATTGCACTTTCCAGAGTCGCTGATGAGCTCCTTTTTTGCTATATTCAGGTTACTTTTGTTTCTTCTCTGCAATTTAATATTGTTGACTCACTCCTATTTGAATTTCCTTTTTCACTTTTGCTGAAATTTATCTTCTAATTTTTCTGGTCTCTTTTTAACCTTTGACTAAACTTCCTCTCCTCATTGGCCTGCCTTGGCTCAGCTTTGCCCAATTATTGTTTTTGACATTCCTCTCCATCTTACTGATTAAGTCTCCATCCATGATTTTCAGATATTTATCCACTTAGGATGCCGACTCCTAAAAGCTCCCTTCCACTTTGGGATGCATCTTTAATATTTCCATTTGAATGCTTCTCTTCAATATTCCAATCTCAAAGTCAATGCTTTCAAAACCACACCATTTGTCTCCACCACCACTCAAGAAAGCACAGCTAAACAAAACCCCGCTCTTTGTCCTTTATTTTTCATTTACAGACCATTATAAAGGTTATTGGGCTAGAAAGACCTTCCTTTTACTTCTGTATCATTCACTGCCTTGTCAATATCTCTGTATCTTAGTCTATCAGTATTGTATTACTGTATAATTGATAAATAATTGAAAACATCTTACAATTTAGTTCTAATTTACTTATGTCAGCTTTATTTTCTATAAGTAATCCATTAAGCATCTATAATTCTTCATAATTGGCGCAGTGAGGGTTTCAGAGGGAAATTTCTCGATCAGCTTCCACCCTTGCCAATGATATTCACACCCAAAGGAATGCTGAGAGAGCCAGAAGAGAAAAGTGGGGGAGAAGACAGAACACAGTAGCAAAATTCAGTGTTTGCAATTGTATTCTTAATGTCATCTCTCCAACCCCACCAAATGAGGGCTCTGCTTTCATGTTACAACATTTGTTGATGCCTTCAACTGCTTTACTGGAAAATTTCCATTTGTTCAGCCGTCTGAGACAAAATCCTCTTCTTATATGGCTAGACTTCATGATGAGAGTTTACACCTGGCAAGCGCTGCGAGGCATCAAACCTTTCAGGATGATTTAGGAAAATGAAAGTTTTATTTCAACTGAGTGAGCAGAAAAATATAATGACCCATTTCTGTGATTTCACTTTTAGTTCTCACTAGGATAAGGAAAACAGGTGCATTACAAATCAATACTCCGGGGAACAGCACTAAAAACTGAGGAGGCAAAGGGTTCAAAGTATCGACTAAAACGCCTTTTTCCAGAGGTAAAGTGAAGAGATCTGTATTACTTGGGATTTACGTTTTTGTTTGTGTTAGAGTAAATAATAGATGAGGTAACAATCTGCTGTTCAGTTATTACTTCTTTTTCTTTTCTTATTGAAGAAAATCGCTCTTTTTCTCAGTCACAATACTGTGTGTCCACCCAGAGAAGAGGCTGGAGAAGTGGCTGAGTGCCTGCTGTGTCTCCTCACAGGCGGAGGCTGGGAGGCAGGTCCTCGCACCTCTGGACCCTCTGCTCCCTGCAAAATGAAAGGGGGTGACAGCATAATCGCCAGGCAACCGCCCATGCATTGTCACCGGTCCTGACCCAGGGCGTGGGAGCTGACACTCTGGCCTGTCAGCGCTCCTGGACACAAGTAAGCAACTGAGCACCACCACCTGCTCCGGAAGCTCATTCTTAGACACCAAATACAACAAACTTCATATTCCAGTGGAGCACGGTAATTTCCATGCCAGTGTTAGAAACTATGAAGAAATAGTTCAGAAAAAGGTCATCTCGGCAAACACTTAAGTATTTGACCATCTCTTGTTTGGTTTATCCACCCACAAGTTGGTGGGCAAACTGGAGGACAAGCCGCCACAAGGCGAGGACTGTGCCCCCTTGTTGAGCGACGCGCAGGCTGCACCTCAGGGCAGGTCCTCAGGAACCCAGCTCCAGCCCGCAGCCCGGGGAAGGGTGACCGGGCGCTCCCCGCAGGACGCCGCCCCGAACGCGGCCCCGCCCCTCACCTTGCCCGCGAAGGTGCGTGCGGCGCTCGGTGATTGGCCGCGGCCCGCCGCTGCCCGCCTGCCATTGGCTGCTTGGCTCTCTTTGTTCCCGGTCCCCCCCACGCCCCCCGCCCCCGCCGCAGCGAGCCTGCCTGCAGCCGACCTCGACCTCGCGGCGGAAGTTCGACGGCGCCGTGCGAGTGGCTGAGACGACGGCGCCGGAGTCCCCGGCAGGTCCCTCGGTGCCCGGGCCGAGCGGAGGCCACCGGAGCCTGGACGTGAGATCCCGGACAGGAGGAGGGAGCCCCTGTTGACGCACAGCAGCCATGGACTTGGATACCAAAATGAAGAAGGTATGGGTGGGTGGCTGGGGTGGCCCCGGTAGAGGACTCAATCTGCGCGGGCGTGTCCCCGATTCCGCCATCGGGTTGCCTGGACAGGTGGAACACGCGGGTCTCCCGGGTCCCAGCTCTGCGGGGTCCTGGCACTCGCTTGGGCTCCCGGAGGAGGAAATGCCACCGCAGCCAGGCTCTCCTGAAACCCAGAGGCGACGCAGAGTGGGGGGCGCGGTCGTGGCCTTGGGGTCCCCTCCCGTCCCAGCGGTGGGAGGGGTTTGAAACTTTCTTGGAGATGTTTGCGTTGCCCCTCTCCATCCCGCCGCCACTGTGCTTCCCCGAGGAAGAAAGGTGGTGGGCGACGACACCGTCACACTTTTTTCTTCCTGTCTGAGGAAGTTCAACTTTACTCAGCCTGTGGGGTTTAGGGGCGTTGCTGCGACTCTGACAGCCCTGAGCGCCTCCCCTCGGCTTCCTAGAGCGAGTGCTGATGGAGTGCCCTGCCTTTACCAGCGCGCTGCTGATAACTTGGGAAGTGGTGATGGGGAGCCTCGCGTCGCCTGGAAGAGAGGGGTGGGGACCGGACTGTGACTCAGAAGGAATGCTGATGTCACAATCCAGGGTAACGTCCTGCGAGAGACCGTCTTCCTCCCGGAGGGAACTTCGCTTGACCCAGCGGTTCCTTTTCAACCAGGGAGGGAAGTTTTTGCGAAGAAGAGGGGAGAGTGGAGGAAACTTAATATTTATCTCCTGACCATGTATGGCCCCTAAGTTTGTTATCCCGTAAAGAAAGAGGTCCTGTCTGCAGAATTAATGCCATCTTATGCCCAGATTCAGAGTTTGAACACATGCACAAATACCAAGTGTTGGGAAGCTTTTGGCCAACAAAAGCTTGGGAGAGCGAAGTTTCTTGGTCCCTAATGACAGAGCAGGAAAAACCCAACTTGTGAAAGTAGAGAGATTACATTCCCTTCTCTTCCTGTTGGATTTCTTTCTTTTTATTATTATTTTAAACAATACTAATATCTTGGTTGCTCTGGTCTGCCACGCGGAGGGCACTGCTGCTTGCTGCTCAGTTCGCCTTCTGTTGATGAACACTGTTCTCATTGTTTTCAAGTAGGTAAGAGATTGATACTTGTCTAAAATTGGGGCAAAAGAAGGTGTATTGTCCTCGCTTCCAAGCATTGATTCCGAAATGATTTCATAAACATCAGCCATCCTTTGGGGAGAAGGCATGGATAGCAGGATTTTAAGGGCAGTGGTACTTTTCTGTGTAATACGATTAATGGAATTTATACTCCATTATACATTTGTCGAAACTTGTAGGATGGGTGACAAAAGCGGTGCTCCTGCTACAAAGAATAGATTTTGGGGGATGAGAATGAGCTTTATCCAAGGTTGTCAGAAAGCACCACTCTCATGATGTGAGGTTTTCATAGTGCGACAGGTTTTACATGTTGGGGATGGGAAACGTACAAGAACTTTGTATTTTCTGCTCAGTTTTACTGCGAACCTAAGACTGCTTTTATAAAATGTAGTCATTTCATAAAGAAAAAAATGAGAGTCTAAAAGTTTTTCACCCTGAGAACAGTCATTTTGAGGGGAAAAAGTTCAACGTCAAGAATTATGTGTGCTTGCAAGGGAAAAATCCAGACATTTATTTATAAACAGTTTCCGTAAAGTTTCCAAAGTGGATTATGATAAATAGCGCCCTTGACATATGATCTAATTTTTATCCTTCACCCCCTCTTTCCTTTAAAAGGTTATCTTTCCAACCAAGAATCTTAGCTTCCAAATCCTTCCTCCCCTCCTCTCTACCCTCACCCCAAGCAAACAGATTCCATACACATACAACTTGTGCACACCACTGTAGGCCATGCACAAGTTGTCATGGATTGAGAGTCTCAGAGTCCTCAACCATTGACAAATTGGAACCCACAAAAAGACTTAATGCTTGTCCAGTTGGCTGACACATCTCCTCCTCCCTTGAAGGAACTTGTTTGGACCTGATGTTCTGTGTTTTGGACAAGGTGCTTCCCAGTATGAATTTGAAGGCATCCAGGAATGTATTTCACAGTCATAGCTGTGATGTTACAAAAGAAATTGTAGTCTGTTATACCCAAAGAAGGAAATAAGATGTGATGATCTTTGATTTAGCAGTAGCATTTCCTCATCCACTTACATGGTTTTAAGTTTCTTTTCTTGAACTTAAACACACAAGAAAACGGATAGTCTGAATGTACCTTAAAAAAAGTCAGGATGGAAAATGGAATAAAGACAACCATTTATATGACACTAAACTTTTGTGTTTTAGGATACATGGCATTTCCCCTTCTAGAGCCTTTGTGTGGTTGATTTCATAAGGAATTTTGTCCAGGCAGATGAGAAGTGATTTTTTTTCCCATTAGCATTTGTGTAGAAAAAATTAAAGAGAGTTATCTTTACACTCAATGGCTTAGGTGGATGATTTTCTTACAGGATTCTTGATTTGTAAGAGTTATACTCAATGTCCACATTGTTTGCATAAATTTGATTACTAGTTATATCCCACCATCACAAAGAAGGGGGATTTTATCATTAGATTTTGCTGTATTTTGTTTTGTTTGACTTGAGCAAGCTGTTGCTAAGACATGGGAGCTAGTTTGGGTATATGGAGTTTTTGTTTTAGTAACATTTTCAAACAATCTGACTTGTACATCCTTGCCCCATCTTCAGAGCGACTAACTCTTCTTCTTCCTTCCTGAAGTCTTTAGTCTCTTGTTGTAATTGACTTTGTGGAAGTACAGTCCTTGTCTGCTTGGGGAAAACAAAGGGCTTTGAGAGGCAAACACAGAGACCCATTTTGTAGGGAATGGTAAATCATGACCCAAGGCCAGCTGTTTCCCTCTTTCCTTTCTGCATTGCTCTCCCATGACAATCACCTAAGGGGAAAAAAATACCAGGGAAAAAGAGTCCCAGTAATTTCCCTTTCATCACTCAGAATTGCTGCAGGGTTTTCATTTTACTTTATTCCTTTCTTGCCACCTTTCTCTTCCTTTTCCTTTTATCCATCTTAATATCTTGCATACTTTTCTTAGGACTCTTCTCTTGCTTTACCTAATTTTACTTTTAAAAAATGAGATGTATTCTAAAGACTGTAGGTTATTAAATCTCCGCTGTCTTGCATCCAAACTTATTCTAAAAGCTTTTTGTCATTAGCCAGAAAAGTATAATTAAACAAGTGGTTGCAATTGGAAAAAAATACTGAATCACAATAATTTCCATTAGACATGCAATTGAGCTCTGTCTTAGGTGCGCCCAAAGTGGAAAAAGTGCTGATCTGGATACATGAATCTACTGTGGGATTTGCTGCTCAAAGTCATGTTCACCTGCAAGTATCATTGACGCGATTGCTTGCTGCCTGTGATGAACAGCACAAGGTGAGAGCTTGGTGGAAAGGCACCGTAGCCAGGGACTAGTGTCAAGGGCAGCTTCCATTCTGTCTCAGAACAAATACAGACAAAAAGTAAAATAGTCCTCAGCTGGACTTTCATCCCTTGTAATCTTATGTGTGATTCATTACATTGAGTGGATATAGAAGGTGCTTTCTCTTTCCCTGAATATTATCTTGAAGAAAACTGTGGCAGTGTCTGGCTGGTTTTGTTTCCTTATGCTGTGAAGTAGAGCTAGGGACTTTTATCTCTGCTGGCAGTTACTCCTGTACCATTTTACCTCCCCTAGTGACTTTGGGCAGTGTTCAAGCTCCATCCATCGCACCAAGTTTTACTCCTCCTCCAAGGTCCACCCTAGCACAGCACATCCTCCACTCAGAAATCTTTCTCCATGTTCCCACCTGGCTGCAGTCTCTTTTCCTGAATATGCAAGGCATATTATCTTAGGCCACATTTCACTTTCCATCTGTGGGTTACAGTGTGCCTTGTCTGTTTCATCATCTTGGCTTGGCCTGAGCTGGTTGAGAGAGATGACTTCATTTCCTAATTGCATATTTTACTTGCCATTCAGAGCAGTGCTACCGGGAAGACTTTAGCCCCATTTGCAGCACTTAGAAATTGAGTCTCAGATTCCTTCATCTGAAAGTGGGGAGTCTTTACTATGAACTTGCTAGTCTGCAGGATCCCTCTTCCCTCCCATAACCATCCTGCTTTTGCTCAGGAAATGTATATTGCATGGATAATTCATTATTAAGAGAAAGAAAATTCAAGGTATCTTTCAACATCTTCATTGGTTTAAAGGAATTATATTTGAGGAAATGGTTTCTATTCTAATAAAAGTGCCCATCTTAGTGGTTTTCAGTATTTGTCGTTTTTCCATGTTGTGTGTGCACTCTGTAGTATGAGTTCCCACTCTCTTGCAAAGGAACTTGGAGGAGACTTCACAAGCAAAAAATTGCATAAGCTTCAGTAGCATTCTGAAATATCTTTTAGGACTCTTCCAACTTTCCAACTTCTTGTGGGAGACAGTGGTTGTGTTTCCTCCTGGGTTTTTAACACGGTCCTGAGTGGTAGTGACCAGGCATGGACATCTGCTGTGCAGGTTCTTCCAGTGGATCTGTAACTGTGGCATGGCACCTGTGCTCGACCATGGAAGAATTTGTTCTGTGGAACTCCATAACTGATACGAAGCCTCATGTAGTACTTGGAGAAACTAAACATCATTTCTTCAGCAACAAAATACCCAGAATGCCATTGAAATGACAGACAGCTAAAAAGAGGGCATCTTAAAAAAATCAAACCCTTAATGCTGGGAGAAAAACTATTACTCTTAATTTCTTATCCTTTGTATAGGAAATATCGAATAGAAAGCACTAAAATAATCAGCTGTCTTACAAGATTGTCATGCAGGTCCAGAATAATACCCAGCACTATGAGCAAGCAATACATATTCTGGAACAGCAGTATGTAACAAGTTATTAAGAGGGCCTTCCGGAGCTAGCATTTTGGTTAACTGTTGACAATAGTTGGGACACCTATACCTCATACCACAACACCTGGGTTCAAAAATCCCACCTCTGCCACTGA